GACCGGGGATAAACCAGGGTAAACGGCTGGTTTACCTTTCCTCAGGGAGCTGGGGAACAGCCCTCTTCATCTCGGCCGTGGCGCAGGCTCTGCCCTGCTCTGCCCGCCTTCCTGCTCGGCCGCCGGGCGCAGAAACTCTCTCACGGCGGGAAGGGCTGCCCCCAGTTTTCCTCTCAAGTCGTTTGCACAGGTTGCAAAACGCGTGTGGAAGGCAGCTGGGTTATGCCGTTATCTATGACCTTCTCCATTTCTCACCCTACCCACGCCAAAACATTGAATTACATGGTTACTGTAATAACTCAGTATCTAAATCTCATAAAACTCTGGAAACAAAGTTTGAATGCTGAAAGCTACAACTACAGAAAAAAAAGGAAGGGAAGCAAGCGAGCAGACTCAACTGCCTGCCCCCTCACAGCAGTTACTATCTCTCATGCCAGATTCTTTCCCGTTAGCTTTCTCGGGAAGATATTTTGTCGTATCTCAGCCCAAGACGTACCGCATCGCCATCCCCTCTCCCACACGCTTTCCCCCTAGCTACCGAGGATTTGACCAGGTAAGAGCACTACTTTTCCAATTCTCTCTTGACACATCGCCAACACTAGAAAACTAAAGTAGGGGGTCTAAAGTAGATGTTTACTAAGTCACCTCAGGTTATCTTTTTACTTAACAGAAAATAAACTGGAAGGATCAGACCAGCTGGCAAACTAAAACGGGTGCTCAGGGTGAGAGGAGCCACCTTCAGAGGCACTCGTTTCGCTCCACCGATTATAAAGGGAATTCGGGGAGACAAGTAAGTCTGGTCAGGACGTTGGGACAGGTAACTCCTCTTTCCCAGTATCCAGCAGCTCCATCCATACCCAAATACCTCATCTTCAGGCTCAAATTCATTAAAGCAAACCACAATCACAAAATGCAGGTACACCAAAGGCCTAGTTTCTGCAAGGCAAGTATTTTATTTGAGAAGGAGAAATCTTAAGTTCGTGTGTACTTTCCAATGTAATAGACGTATTTTTGCTAACAGTAAACACTAGTACGCATGCACTTTGCTGTTTTCTCAGACCTGGATCTTCTAGCCATCAGCTACAATTTCAGCTGTATTCAAACTCTATTATTCCACTTTTCCACTGTTATAATTGTATTAAGTGTTATAACCACACTGTTACAACTTCCCCCAATTGTAGTCCAAATTCAAAGGAAGTACACATTTTTAAGTATTTGTATTACATTTACAGAGAATGAAATGCATTTTTTTAAATAGTATAAATTACAACACCTAACTTTAAAGTTTATGAAGTCTTTATAGCGTAGCCATTTAAAGCTGAAAAAAAGTCTAAACGTATTTGAGCATTTTTGAATACAACATTTTAGGTATTAGTCATGACAACCATCTGAAGCCTAAATACATAAGTTCAGTCATTCTTATTCAAATTTTCTGATTCACATAAGCATTTGTCAGACTGCACTTATATCGGCTTTCTTTACCACTTTCTTCCATTAAAAAAACATGGATTTGTTAATGTACTCTAGCTCACATTGTATGCCAATATCTTTGCTGCACAGTTTTCTCCCCAAATTCTCATTGCCTATGTTTTGTGTAAAAATAAAGCAGTTCGAAATATTAAAAACCATTATAAAGCCATCCAATTTGACACTGTTCCCTCAATAATCCAGCAGTGGCAGAACAGGCTAGCTTTGCCTACTGCACATTATTTTATAAAATTGAAAATACACCAAGCACCAACCAACACAGCAGCAATAGATGCTTTCTTGTCATCAGAACACTAAGCCTCCCTCCCACTTTTTGCTACCTTTTTACAAAGTTATTTAAATAATGTTACTATCATAGTCTAACACACTAAAATATCATACTAAAACTATGATACGTTATTATCAAACTTGTGTGGTAACAACCCACTTTCTGACCATACAGTTAATTACCAAGGAACTACAGAGACATCCTTTTTACAAAATACCACTGTAGTTTAATTTCTCATAGTAAGAGAAAAACAAAAGCATGTAAGTAAATTACATTAAATTAAAATAAATATTAGAAATCTTATTAATTATATATGCTTGCCAAGTGCAGTCCAAAGGGCCTCGTCTACTCTTCAAATCAAAAAGAAAATGATTTGATTTTCAGATTCATAGAATCTGATTTAAATTTTGGATCAGAACACTTAACATGGGAAAGGAAAGACAACAGAAACATAAATGGGAAAAGGGATGGAAACAGAGAGAGAAAACTAAAACAGACCAAAAAAGGGGACGGGTAAGGAACTGGCTGTCACTTCCAGCACCACAATCCCGCAACAGGAGCTCTCAATAACGAGCTGCTGATAGAGCAGCAGCAGAAGTGGCAAGATGCAAACAACTGTGGAAACGCAGCAGCTATGAAGTGAGACTCCACGGAGAGTAAGGCTAGGCTGACTGTCACGTTACTTCGCCAACCTAGCGGAGTCTTCACAAACAATGCAGTCTTTTCCTTCAGCAGGTATGAATCTGTGCTAGTAAACTAGTGCCTAAGTTAAAAATTACACAATCACCCTTAACATTTATAGCGAGGCTCAAAAGCGTACTCAGCCTTTTACGTGTCAGGTATTCTATCATCAACATTAATTCCTAGTTTGTGTTACTTCTGATAAGCAGGGGCTGTTCGTTACTAAGGGACTGTGTCAGAATTTCTCAAACCTACCTGGTTACTTTAGAAGTTTTCTCATTACATTTAGGGTAGATCCCCTGTACCCCGTCCCAAAATGGTTCCAGTGGTTTATGTAATTAAAGAGCTGATACAATTTGTTTCGTTTCTCAAATCCTGGAGCTTTGGGTATTTTACTGTGATAGGCAGAGAAAAAACAGCTGCTAAACCCACCAAACATTCCAGCAATGGCCAGCTCAAATTCTGAATGGCCATAGAAGGAAGCAGGGTCAAAGATAATTGGCCCGGAGTCGTCCTCAGCCACATTTCCTGCCCACAGGTCCCCATGCAGGAGAGCAGGAACAATTTCTACATCACAGAACATTTCAGGAATCTTTAGCTGAAAAAGCATGAACAAACACATAACAATTAAAGAGTTTTGAAGAAAATATTAAATAAAGTACTGTACTATATAAGAGACTAAGCTGGTCAAGTACTGCCTGTTTCCAGTCCTCGTGGAGTGCTTTTGAAGTTGATGGCTACAAGCATAAACCTAAACTGTAAGCCAGTAATAAATGTTCTTGATTGTTCTTGACAGAGCTTAGCAAATCATTCAATTCACAGTCTAGTATCAACATTTAGTATTAATGTATTGTTTCTAGACGTGGATAGTATTGGCTGTCACAAGAAATATAAAACAAATTTCATTTAAATTAAAAGGTTTCAGTGGCAAAAAGGGCAGCAGTAAACATCCACGCCAGTTAACCAGAATTAAGGAACAAATTTGTGATGTAGAGCTTGCAGAGGAATAAGTTCCTGGCTGTTTAAGTGCTGCGTGGAGCGTGACCTGAACCGCAGTCTCAGCTGTGAGCCTGGACCAATTAAAAAAAAAAAAAATCTGCCTGGCCAGCAGAATCTTACCTACTTTGTCACACCAAGTTCTTAGATCGGATTTGCCATCTTATTATTATTAGCTGTATTCCAAGAAATAAATGCCAGTGCTGAATTACAGGTTTATTTTCACTATCTATTAAAAAGCCGAAAGAGCAACATTAATTCTTTTCAGCAGACAGTGTTGTTGGACCAGCTGTGAAGCTAGTCCAGTTACTGCTGTTCATTTAAAATTCCACTGATACGTATTCTCTAACATTCTAAACCACAGATTTAAGACACGGTTCATACTTTCAGCTGCGACCAAAGTTCTCTGGCTTCTCTGTCTCCATAATCTTTTTCAATCAAATCCAATTGAGCTTGGAGTCGGTGACGAACAAAGAAGGAAGGCCAATCACTCTGCCATTCATTCACCTAGAAAATATGACACGGAGGTTTGCAATAAACAATTTTAACATGTACATAGTCAGTATTAATAATACATAGATATCAAGTTAAAATGTTTGATGCTGACACAATGGCCTAGACAATGTTAGTATGACCTGCTCACAATGTTATGAGACATTTCGTTGATTGTTCTTTGTGATGCTCTCTTCCGTGCTTAGGTGGGGCTGTCTTTAACATGAGATATAAGTTGAGGTTCTGGCTATTATAATTCATTCATATTTTCTTAATGTATTTTAGAGGGAGCGTTTCTGGTGAGATCATTTCAGCTGGTCTATATTGTATTCCAAAATCTATCTGGAAATGCAAAAGTATTTGTTCATTTTTATTGGGTAATGCATTTCTAATTTGGTGAAAAGTTGTGCTTAGCAAAGAGTTTGAGATATTGCAAGTTCATTCAGTTAAACAGTAAAACAAAATTCTACCATGTGCAGAGCCAGCAAATGACTGATTTATCTGTGAGCGCCCTTTCCAATGTCTTATGTGATGTGTTGCAGGATGAGGCTCTCTAACAGCAGTGGATTTTGCCATTTGAGGTCCATATAGTAGGGGTTTAGAAAAAAACAAAACCAAGACACGATATGTGAAGGGATACTTATTTTACTAAGTATCACCAAGCTAAAGAACCACCACATCAAATTCTTATTCAATCCACTGCGCCTGCTCGCTACATGCATTGTAGCGAGCCACAGACATTGAATAGCCATCATATTCCCTTCACTGTCAGGTCAGAATGAAACAGTGAAAACACAACTGTGATCGTAAAGCTGAAGGCCAATGAAACAAGCTTTTGTATAAAGAGTTTATGGAACTATATGAGTGCACGTTAGCTTTCACAGGCATGGAACATACCTGTGGTATGTAACCACAGCAAGTGGCTGTGTGGAATCCAAACTTATCCACATACTGAGACTCAGAGTGACCTGCTCCTTTACCTAAGAAACAAAATAAATATTGGGAGTTTTGAGATCCTTACATAGTAAAGTTTGCAAACACAGAACTAAATTTCAGAGAAGATAATTTTAAGCAATAAGTTACACTTATTTCATGGTCACAACCCTCTCTAAAGATGGAAAGAACTCTCTTAAACTTGAAGATACTGAATGGAAATGGAGGCACAATTAGTCACAGTTAGTGACTTTTCTTTGGATAAATGAGTTAGACATTCAGGAAGAGTCCAGATACCAGATTCACAATCTACTGTTCCAACACTTGAACATGCTGTCATTAAACATGGCTTATTTTTGACGCATAGATTATTTGTGACCTGCCAGTGATTTAGCCTTCACTCAAAAATAATGGATTATAATATGTCCACCACTAAGAGTTGAAGCTGGTCCATCCCTGAAGTCATGGGAAAGACACAGACTGGTGGTTCAGATTTTAATACTAACAACTCTAAAAGAATAATTCTTTGTATAGCTGCTTTTTTTTTTTTCATTCACGCCTTAATCCACTTTCCAAAAATGATGGAAGGTGTTTTCATTGAAGTCAACAGAAACTGTATCATGCCCTTACACTGGTGAATTACAGCCGTCTTCAAAGAGCAGCAATTGTTGTACATTTTGCTACATATTTGAGTTCAAAAATGTAATCCCCAGCATCTTTAAAGGGGAACTTAATTATGTGTTTACTAACTGGGACCATATTCCATAATAAGTTAATTGTCTAAACCAACAGTAAACAAAAAAAGAGGATGTCTGTAAGGTCAAGAACATTTTAAGAGACTGATGGTACATGAGGCTGAAAAGTTTAACTGACATTGAAAAAGACAACTAGTCCAAATTTTCAGTTTGACTTACAAAATGGTGAAAGCTCTATCAAATATTAGCACTATTTCTTACTAAATTTCAGTATCCGCATAATTTTATACAACAAAGTATATACAAAATGAAGAATTAAAAAAAGAAATTAATTTAGTTTTGGCAAGGTTAAAATGATATGTTTAAAAAAAATAATAGTAATTATAGCTCCTGCGTATATAATGTACATTTGCGAAGTGTGGCATAGGGACAGGAGGGACATATCTCATGAAACAGTGTCCCAGTATTGACTTTAATTATCATTAAAATTATAATGCAATACTGTACCACAGCCAAAAGAATTATTTCATTTTTGGGTTAGTACATGATATCAATACTCTACCAATTGTGTTTCCCTCCTTTCTCAATTTCTCTCCAAGTTTCTGGTTATAAAGATGAAGATCTGCTATCTGCTCTCCAAGCTTTGAAGAATATCTGTAGGATCAAAAAACAAAATGAAACTGAAACAAGACAAGTGAACGAAATATTACAGAGAAAAAAAAAAATCAATTAAATATGACCAAGTATATTTTTGGCAAATGTAGAACCTTAATCAACTTCACAAGTACATAACAGGGAGCAAATGACTAGACGACAACTCTGAAAAAATGGGTTGTAACAGATAATAAAATGAACGTAAGTCAGCGCTCTGGCAAGAAAGGTAAACAGAACACAAGGTTGTATAAACAGGGGCATGGAGTGCAGGAGGATCAAGTAATCATCCTTATCAGCTCCACATAAATAAGCAGAGAACAGAACACGGTATCTGCTTTCGGGCCTCATACTTCGAGATCAGCTGAACAGCAATAAGAATGGTAAGTCTAAAAAGAAGCCATAGGTGAGGATTGAGTTGAGGTTGCTTAATGCTGAAGACAGACTACTGAAAAACAGTTAAAATATTGCACAGATATCTGAACAGGAGCTGCAAGGACGGAAGCCAATTTCTTCTTCATGCCCAGAACGGGTAGAAAATAATGGGTTTAAAATTGCAACCTGGAGGACTGAGGTAGATATTAGAAAAATCTTTCCTAGCAACAGTGGGCTGGATGGGAATGGACTGTTTGGGGAAGCTGTGGAATTGCCGTTATCGTCCCAATAAAAATAGATAGGTTGGACAAACAACTGCCAGAAGAGCCATAGGCGTTACTGTGTTCCCCCAGAGGCCCGGAAGAAAGCAGTTAACTCCTGAAAGCCTATGTTCTGGAGCCTCCTGAATTCCACGTTCAGGTTGGTTGGCGGACAAAATGGAACTTCATGTTATCTATCCATTTAGTTCTTCCTCACCCTAGCGCCTTTGACCTTGGTGACTGGCTTCAATCATTCTTGGAGATTATACTTAGAGAAGCAGAGGTTTCAAAGACATAAGCAGCCTATAAGTTTAAACAAAACGGATAGGCTGGGAAAAGAAACTGAAATGAAAAATCTCATGATGGAAAGATGGGCTAAACTTGGCCATTATCACATTCACTTTCGTAGCATCTCAGCACACGTGGACCAGCATACAAAGCTCGAGGCTAGCGATAGCATGCCATTTCTATTGCAGGTAGAGGGTCAGGGAAGAGCAAAATATGGGGAAGGGGTGTATACACACACACACACACACATAGCTATGTGTATATATATTTTTAATACATACACATATACACACATGGATCTTGACAGATATAAGTTCCAGCTCTGAGAGAATAGAGGGGTTCTTCTCATGAAGTTTTCTGACTGACTGTAAGATGTAAGAAAATATGCCCCAAAACACAGTAAAAAGAAAAAGAGATGTACAGACGTACTTGTTGAGGTGTTTCATCTTTAGGTACTCCATGACAAACATTGCTCCTCCTCCAGGTAGGTCAATTACTTTAATCGGCTGAGGCACTCTCACAATATTGGTTTTCTGGATAGCTTCCAAACTTGCCATTTCCCCTTCAAACATTTTCCTAGCCTGTCAAGGAATAAGAATATCCTTGGGCTAAACTATGGCTGTCTGCAACAAGGACTTTGGAAAAAATAGCCTTGTTTACAAAGTTACAAGGAGTTAATTAGTCTTGATAAAAGAATGTAGCTGCAGCAAGGTTTCAGTCCACACAGGGAGACTTGAGTACCTTAATTCTAACTTCTTTTTTTCCCAAATTCATTCCAGGGTAGTAGGATATGTCACATTTCTCCGTGATTTCCGGCTGCTTATGGAGATACCAAACTACTCAGACGTAACACTATCTCTGAGGATAATACCCAAGACTACCTCCTTCAAAACCACAGATGACCACAACTAAATGAAGACTGAATCCTTAAACTGGTTCACCTTTCCATGCAGGTCAATGGCCACCAGATGGAGATGACAGTACAAATATTAAGCCTGCACTCTACATTTTTGAAGCAAAGATGTTCTTCACACCAGTTTTAGGATGTTTTTAATATTGATAAAGCAGATTTCTGATGCACTGTGTTGTTACAAAAAGCCATTAAGTACTGCATTCATTTAGTAATAGAAAAGTCAAGAACTTGGCCTGAAAAATTGCTAGAATCTTACTGCTAGAAATACAAAAAGCAATGGGGAAGTTTGAAACCTCTATAGCTTTAAAATACATGAGTTTTAGCCCTGGCACTCTGTTTCCTCCCTCCCACTATCCTCCCAACTGAAACATGAAAAAGAACGCAGTGAATGCAAATTCAGCTTTAGACTTTTCCAATCTCTAAGTACTACAATAACAGCTCTGTACTTAGCCTCTTTTTTACATATTGCAATGCCCATTCCTGTCGTTGAGGGTTATCACATTGCATTACACCTCATTTTGCATTAGCCAAACCTGCTGCATTAATACTTGATATAAAATAGACCACAGCTTTTAAAATAAAACTGCAGGGAACACTGGAATAATTAAAAGTCAGCCTGAAAAGGCAGAATTCTAAATTATTAACAATCAGGTGTTTTTAAAATAAAAGGGTCTCTACATGCAATAATATTAGTAGTTAAATATCTGCTAGCATTAACCTGAGGTTTGTGGTTGATTTTAACAAATACTCGTCCACTGTCTGTTTCATAACCTTGGCCTTGGCTAATGTATCCTCCTCCGGAGCCTCCAAACGCCTTCAGAACAGAAGTTTTCAATTCTGTTTTCAGGATTTTTTCCATGGTGATTTCCAGGCTGCTGCAGCTGCTTTCCGCTAAATCCACTGCAAAACGAGATTAAAGGTTTGGGTCCTTCTTTCACTGTCACTCTGCTATGAGGTAGAAAGGGCCACCCACCAAATAAAAAAAAAAAAAAAAAAAAAAAAAAAAAAACCAGCCAAAAAAAAAAAAAAAAGGCAAATCCAGAGATACTGTTTCAAAATGCTTTGTTTCCCATGGGCTCATAAAAATCTTCATAAATATTTGCTAGAATAAAATTGAGAGGTGTGTCCTGGGTCCTCTCTCAGCTGTGCTGAGAGCTGCTGGTATTTGTAGTTTGGACCCGTTTTTCTTTTTTAAGCTCTGTGATCGCAATTGGTAGAAGACGTCATTTTTAAACCAATCCACTAGAGGGAGTTTAAATGCAACACCACAAACTGCGCACGTGTTGTATTGTGCTTATTCAAGACATGAAAAACAAACTTGCAGTCCATAAGGATGCAATTAAATCATGCTGCTGACCGTAAGCCAGCCACCAGAAATACGTGGAAAGGTTGGTGGGTTTTTTCTCTGCTTGCAGTTGCTTTGTGTGGACTGGAGTTCTGTTGTCGTCCCTGAGCTCTTTAGAATGCTTTCCCTTCTGGGGACGTAATTCCATCTCTCGTAAGAGACAGTCAAAAGATTTTTATTGCCTGAAATTCCCCTCAAGTCAGTGAGATAGTAAGGTGCTCAGGGCCGGACATTATCAAGTGAAAATTCATAGTAAAAGCATCAAGCTGGTAATACAGAAATTTGGGATGTTGTTCCTACATACTTCTCCAGATTTAACGTGATCTTTAGGACGTCATTTCAGCTTTTTATCTCCTTTCACAGTCTGTAACACAGAGAAAGAAGATCCCTTGGGTACTACTGAATTTAATCGTTTCACACTTGCAAAGTGCACTGACGCCCTCAGGTATAAAGCGTAAAACCTTTAAAACATGTTATCATAACCCAGACCCTACAATATTTCTTTTAATAAAAAGTCTGTATAAAGATACTGTATTTGGTTAGGGGGCTACGAGCGACTCCTAGCACAGTTCAATCCGTGGAAGAGGCTGCAGTTCTTGTTCTCACTTGGAGCAGCAATGCCTACCATCTCCCCAGGGAATTTCTGGATCTTGTTGCCACTGTTGCACTTTCCTTTCATGCATTTCTCTCTCTTTTCACTACTACTTGTTTGTATTGATTCATATAAGCTGTTTGGTTTTGACAGAGAAAGGAATGACTACGGGACAAATACTGGCTTCACTTAGGTAGGCTTTTCACCACACTCACAAATGGTTCCAGTCCTACATGGAGTGAAAAATATTGGTATAGTACAAGTTATTTCTCAAACAAGTAATTTCTCAGAACATAGCTCCTTACGGTACGCGGAGCAGCTGGAACATAGCCAATTTGTCCCTTTGAGGTCTGCTAAGGAGGAACTTTTCTAACAGCCAGATTTATTTGAGCAGAACATTGCTTATAGAGTAAGAGCACAAGCTGGAAAAGTGCAGCTTGTGACCTGGACTCAGAAACAGCGATTCAAACACAGAAGAGTACTCAAGAACAGCAAGAAGCCACATGCAAGATTACATATCTTGGTTGGACCTTTGCATTATATGTCTGAAGTAACCAGTGACTGCTTTGGCAATCCTTCTACAAAGTCCCACTGTAGTATTTTATAACCGCCACATCACCTATATACTAACTGTAAAACAGATCATTCACAAAATAGAGCTACAGAAAGTAATGTTGGGGAGAGGTAGAGAAGAGTGAGCACTTACTGTAGGAGTCTGAAGTAGTTTGTCCATACACTGCCATGGAGCATTTGGGCCTAGAAAGTGAGCCACAGCTGCTAAAGCAAACTATGCCTGGACCAAAGAAAGCTTAAAGCGCAAGGGCTCAGCATGTACATTAAATCACAGTAAAGCAGCGCACGTGCACTCAAAGCAACTTGATTTTGGACAGTCTGAGGCAGTTAGTTAATATGACTCATATGACTGATTTCTGGATAGTGAAAATGCCAAGCAATTTGAATTTCAGGATATATGAAGCCCTAAAGAGTACCCTACTATTAGAACAATGGGCTCCAACTGCTGAAAGGGGGAATCGTACCCTAGGTTGCAATGGAGCACCTGAGGAAAGGAAGAGTTTTTTGGCAACAAAATAAATGGCCATGAGCAGGGAACTTATTTCTGCATAGTGAAAGATACCCTAGTTCATTTTTCCATTTACCTGTTAAGGAAAAAAAAAAACAAAACACCAAAACCAAAAGCCCCCCAAAAACCAAAACAAACAAGGAGAATGGATCTTCATCCACAATATTACTACTGAACCCAAAATTTTTGCAGTCTAGTATGCCATGGACTTCTCTGCTACGATTTCCAGTGAAGATACCAATAGTTACCGACTGTAACACTTCTTTCAGCATTCTGACATTTTATTTTGGGGTAAACCAGAAAAAGGACCGTGTTAACCCAAATATATTGCATCACTTACATAGTAGCCAAGAGACAGGAAAGCCTTGTTTGCTTCCACGCTGGATCAATATTTAACTGGTAATGCAGAGGTGAAAGGCTTGGTTTCCTAACATTTTTTCACATTGTTTCCAGTCAAGCAGCTTCAAACAGCATCATGTCAAACACTGGAAGTAAAACAACTCAAAAGGATCCCAGATGGGCTTGAAGGAACAGAGTGCTTGAAAATACCCACTGGCAGGTCCGTGAAACCTCCTGCCACGAGCAATTCAGCACCACGGCCAGATCACAAAGGAGAACGCTGAATTGCATCAGTGCGACGGGAGAAGACGGCGAGGAATTACGAAGGAGTATTTATGTGAGTGTTGTGGGGCTCCGGGTTTAAGACCTATCCTCAGGGTTATGCTTGTAGTGGAGTTGGTAACCGTTGAGTTTCCCCGTTCTTTTCTTCTTATTTTGTTCACAACTGCTTCTAATATGTTTGTTTTCAAAGACTGTCCAAAAGACAGATATCCCCGTGCATACCAATGAGAAAAAGATGGTTTACTTATCCTTTGGGAGTAACAGTAGCTAAAGAATCACAGGAAACAACCTATATAGAACAGTGTAACCCAAGAGCAAGAAAAGACTTTCTATCATAAAACCTCCCTTCCTTTGACAGAAGTTATAGTTTCTCAGTAAAAAACTATCCAAGGACAAATAATTCAGAGCTCCTTTAAACCCTGTAGATCTGATCTTCAGTATAACTGCACAGGCTGCAGCTCTGTATACAATATCAACCATGTCTTGGGAGATTTCAGTGAATTCTTGGAGATTTCATTGAAAAACGTGTTGAAAAGTAATTAAGTATTATTTTACAAAGAAAAACAATAAAGCTATTGTGATTCTGATGTGGCTTAGTTACCAGAAATATATTTTCCCCTTAAATCTTCTGTCACAAACAGTGCCTACAAGACAAGCTAATTATATACCACTTCCCACCTGCTTTTACTTCTGCTAGAACAGTCCAGCATCAGTTAAAATCACCAGATCAGCAACTGGAACAACAGTGAAGATGAAAAGCAGGGAGAAAAACAGTACTAGAGTGCAACATTCATGCCTGCAGGCGGTTTTTGCAGATGGCAGCAGTCCACGAGAATGAAAACAACAACAACAAAAAAAAAAATCACACTGAAATGTAGGGTACTATAAGCAATTCAGCAGAAATACGGGTTCTTGCAGAGGTTCAGAATGGATGTGTTTTCCCAATGAGGACAGTCAAGCCATGAAACTGGTAGCCCAGAGAGGTTGTGCAGTCTCCATCCTTGGAGGTTTTCAAGACCAGACCACATAAAGACTTAAGTAAGCTGGCCTGTCCTCATAGCTTTAAGCAAGAGATTGAACTAAGTGACGTACTGAGGTATCTCCCAACCTGAATTTCCCTATGATCCTAAGCATTGAGTCCAGATTTCCAAGTTTGCCTTCCCCTAATTCCTCTCCTAGGCAGAAGCTGATGTTATTAAAATTATGCACAATCATATCCCAACCTACTAATTAATTCCTTAAGGAATTAATTTCAAAATTTAGTTTAAATTAAGAAAAAAAAGATATCGAGAGATCTGGTTTTCAAAGTATTAAAAATAAATGCCTTGAGATGCTTTAGTCTACATATGCCATACATGTACTGTGATCCATCTTGAGAAAAGACTTAGAAACATCATGAGAGGATATTACAGTTTTTTTACAATATACAAATACACGTACACTGTATATTTAAGAAAAATTTAGTGGTTCTTTTACCCTTTTTCCTTTTACCCTTTTCTTTTAACCTTTTCATACAAATAGGAACGGACGGTCAGCAAAATTATGATACAGAACCAGGAAATACGGAATGAGAGCACAGGTCCAAGGAAACATGCTCGCCAGATTAAGAACGCACGGAGGGAGCCAAGAGGGAGGCATACACGAGAAGGAAAAGCAGAACGCATTAGCTTTAAACTGTGAGAGAGAAAGAATAACAAAGGCACACCTGGAACACAGAACGCAACAAAATGATCAAAGAGAATTCCAAGAGCAGTGCAGAACTATACAATACATAAGAAAAAAAAACATTACCTTACAGAACTGCAGCAATATCCTCTTCAGGGTCCGCCAGCAGCCTGCCTTCAGAAGAGAGATCTCATCCTCTTCTCCATTCTCTGATTCAACTGCTGTCTATAAGAACTCAAAACCAAGGGATCCATGGTACAATAGAGCTTGCTATTACAATCCATTTGTATTCCTCTTTACACCCCTTCCATTTTTAACTGTAGCACAAGACGGCTTTGAAAAAGTGAGCATAAGATCCCTTAAATTAAAACTCTAAACACAATTGTTTCTATTTACATAACCTGCATACAACACAATTTTCCTTCAATCATAAAAATATTTTGATTCAGTTCTATTGGGAGAAGGTGATCTTTGAAGGCTTACTGTTTATCACTCAAGTCTATGACTGACCAAAAATCCAACTTCATTACCACTTTTCACCTTCTAATGATAAAAAGTATTTAGGTATTTTAGCAAAATAAACATGTTGATTTGTTGAAGACTTGTAAACAGCATGACCTTGTTAAACAACTTCTAACTTTATTCTGAAGGCATAGGGAAATGAGCAGTTAAAGGATCTAACCAGATGGACTGCTGGCTAAAATCCCACAGCATTTCTTCAATCAGCTGCACTAAGCAGCATTAAGTTTGGGTGAATGGGATAAGGATATGGGCACGGACATAACATTTCATCAACAACATCCCAACAGCTGGTACAATACATAAAGTCTGAAGGCACAGATAGGACCTCAAATGATACAGTAACCAAACAGCACATAAATTTTCTTCAGTGACACACTGCTCCAGATTAAAATCCATGACCACGTTCCCATCAACACCTTTGTTGACCATAACCATCTAACGAACTAGGGACCTTTAACAGGTTGGAGCAAGTAGCTCCCCAAGAATGGACGCAAGCTGTAAGGTTTTAATTCAGAAAACAGAGACAACAATCGTCAACTGGGAAACTTTTTATTTAAGCATCAAGGTAAAAGTAAAAGCTATTCTACCAAGCAAGGGTTTAAAACTTTTTGTCGCAGAAGTTAAACAGCCAGGGAGAAGAGTAGTAGAATTAAGGAAAGTTATATCAAGTGATAGTCTTCTCTAAACTTGCTTCCAATTCTTATAACTGCGAAACCAGCAACTAAAAAACCCTCAGTAATCTGCCAAAATGCAGTGAAAAACATTTTTAATCAATTAAAAGTCATTCCCAAACACTCAAAATGCATGTTAGGAATCATGCATCTCTCTCACCTACCTGGTACGCTTGCACTGAAATATCATTACCAGCCTACATCAAAAAGGGTACAATTTCAGTATTACCATCTCATAGGTATAAGAAACAGCTAGTCTGCAAAGCTATCGTTAAAGAACTTCTGACAGTGGTGTAGAGCTGCTGTTCTGTGAGTTACATTTTAACTTCCTTTGGTTTCATGTCTCTTATCCCAAGAGCTACAAAGTGCACTTAGTGGGGACTGAAGAAAAACGTTAGCTTATGGCACCTGTAGTCTAAACTAAAGAAAATTTCTGTGAAGCCTATACCATGACCAGATGGCATTATCCTGTGGGCAGTGACAACAGTCAAAAAGTACATCTTCTGTTCGTGTTAGTGAGAGAGTACATCTCCACAGGATGTGTACACGTAAAGTCTCTTACCTGAAAAGATCTTTAAGGATGCACACTATTGGACAAAAGCATAATCCAAAAAAGAAGAGAGAGCTAGTTATGGTGAAAAAAAAATTGCTATAGATAAAAGCCCACTGACCAGCAAGCACAGAGCAGCCTACAAAAATGCCATGAGGCACCAAAATGCACATGCCAGAAAAAATTGTAAGTATTTTCACACAGCTTTGTAACAACAGGAAGCAGTTCTCCATCCAACAGAATCACGTTAACATAATGAATAGCAAGTCCAAATAATTTTTCACAGGTCCCATTATATAATTTTCTTGTTGACTTTCAAAATATTTTGTTAACATTGTTTTCATGCACATAACTGGACGTGAAGAGCTGAAAGAGTCTGAGAAATCTATCATAAAGGGCAGGGGGCTGGGGGACAGCAAAAAGCAATGAGCAACTATTTTAACCATCTCCTCAGTAACTGAGAACGGCAATTTTCCATTTCACAAACACTTCTCTAATGTTTTCCACTAGGGTGCAAGTGCAAACCCTGGTATTTCTCTACTCTGAAGCACAATTGGTCCCTAACAGAGAACTTCAAATAATTTACACCCGAGTGCTTGATTTGTATTAACTTGCCTAGTCTCAAGCATACAATGTTTTCTTAACACTGACAGATCTTTCGTGCAACTGAATAAATTCCTTCCTTAGATATTTCCCTCATAAAGGTATTCCCAGCTATCCTAAGAAGGGATGACTATACTCACTGATTCTAGGTCTTTAGCTGTGCAACAAGGTCAAGGGTCTAGCAGCTTTTTTTAATCTTACTACGACTGTAGTTGCACCGCCAAGTATGGGGTTTGCCAAGCAACACAGGAAGTATTCTGCTTGAGCAGAAAGTCACTTTATAAGGTTTCTCATAATGTTTAGAGAAGACCCTCTGTACCCTGTGCCAAAATGGTTCCAATGGTTCATGTAGTGAAAAAGTTGATAAAGCTTTAGGCGTTTCTCAAACCCTGCTGCTTTGGGAATTTTACTGTGATAAGCAGAGTAAAAAGAACTGCTGAAGCCACCAAACATCCCAGCTATTGCAAGCTCATACTCTGAATGGCCGTAGAAAGAAGCCGGATCAAAGATAATTGGACCAGAATCATCCTCAGCTACATTTCCTCCCCAGAGATCTCCATGCAGGAGAGCAGGAACAATCTCTATGTCACAGAACAAACTGGGTATCTTCAGCTGCAGGGGGAAAAAAGCAAGACATGTAAGTACTACATTTTAAGGTGAATGATTATAGAGTTTTATCTGCATACATGCAGAGCATGAATTGAAACTTCTTAAAAGTCCATTAAAAAAACCCATAACTTGAAGCAGCATAAGACCTAGTCAACAGAGATGCTGAGAAAATCAAGAAGATTTCTATTTTTCATAAAAGCCAGCAGCTGAAGAATAGTCATCCAACTGTTTTTTAGCACTAAGAAAATAAAAAATTAAAACTGCATTCGGTGCTGCAATATCGACCAGCTTTAATAATAACAACAACCACCCACTTCATCATTAGAAGGCTCAAGAATCCTTGAAGGGATTTCTACAACGTAGTACCCAAATAGCTAATAGTGCAGTCACTTAATCGGATGCAAACCTTAAATGACTAGATAATGTGCAGAACAGTACTCCTTATATACATTTCTCATCATGAACATGTTACAGGGAATAAGAAATGTGAACTTGACCTAGTATTTCCCAAACAGCAAGGCAAAGCGCTCTTTGGCACACATTCGCTTTGGAATATTAGCATAGGGTGATGTGGCAAAAGCCATTATACCTTAGAATAAAGGGCATTTTAATCCCTAAAAGCTGAAGACTCTTACCAACAGACCCTGGAGCATAGCAACAAACAGCAACTTGGTTTTATAAAAGAAAATCTAAACAACTGATACCTAGCTATCACTATAATGTGAGAATTTCTCCTACCTGAAGTTGTGCCCAAAGTTCTCCTGCTTCCCTGTCTCCTGAATTCTTTTCAATCATGTCCATCTGGGGCTGGATTCTTTGCTTGGCAAAGAAAGTCACCCAGTCATTCTGCCAGTCATTCACCTGAAGGAACAGGATTGCAGATATTAGTTCTACACGACACAAAAGACAGATTTTCTTCTTTTTCAAATAAAGCTTTGGAGGATTATACAGCGTTTGTGTTGATACCGTCCAGGACAGTAAATGCTACCATTTAATAGACTGTTATCTTAAAACATTAAATTAGGGGAATAAATAATTTTCTCTAAGTGATAAAACCCAAGCAATTGAAGAGCTATGAATGTCCAATGCAGCTGTAAGTGCTGTCAAAGCACTACTTTCCTCAGCAGGCTGAACAATGTTTTTTCTTTTTATGACTCCACAGAAATAAATTAATTTCCATTATGATAATTTTGGCCCTTTGTGTGACTGAAGGGAAAATAAGATAAACTTAAAATTCTATCAGTCTGATGAAGTACAACCTACCTGTGGAAGATAGCCACAGCAGGTAACTGTATGAAAGCCAAATTGATCCACAAACTGGACTTCCATTTGCCCTTGACCTTTACCTTTCAAACCAAAGACAAAAATCCAATACTAATGACAAGATTTTAAGCATCTACAATGCAAATGGACTTTAAAAACTACACAAGGGTACAATGCTGCTTCTACTGAGAATAAAAAAACCTGCACCTTAATACTCTCTTTGTTACAACGGCTGTTGCTGTTGGTTTTTAAGTTTAAAGCTTGACGTAAAGCAGCTATATTATAATCTTCATAATCATATTTTGAGGTAGCATATCTCCCCTGATACCTTGTCCTTGTAGAAACTGTGGTTTAGGATCCCAAGGGTCCCAAACTGAAGAAATGTTTTGCTTACAGAGTTCCAAACAGAGCAAACAAAACCAAAAAGACGACCCCCTGCCTGGGTGTTTCGTCCAAATCTAGTTTCGTAATACCTTTAGTGGAAGAAGATGAACTTATCCTGAAATAACAAAAGCTATTTTATCTATTTTGTAGATTATTATTAACTAGGTTAAATTTGCAAACAGCTGTGTACTGTACCAACTGTGCTCTCTTCTTTCTTCAGCTTTTCTCCAAGTTTCTGGTTATGAAGGTGGAGATCAGCCAGCTGTGTTCCAAGCTTTGCTGAATGTCTAAGAAACAAAAGTATTCTTAGCAACACTGACACATGAATGAATCCAGTTCTTGATATTCCAGGAATTACTTGAAAAGATTTATCAAGCAAGTAAAAGAAGTTCTGCATCCCTAACAAAGTACATTTTCAAAATATTCCAGTCATAAACACCTCCTCTTCCTATAAAGACTACTTATTAACATGAAACAAAATGTATTTACATGGTTGTTTCTGACAACACTATTAAAAGTGAGCAGCAATCATAAATTTAGTAACAATGAGAAACTATCAATTCTAATTTCTGTGTGATATCACTTCTACATGAATTTTCAGTAAGGTATCTACAAGGAAAGCATGCACAACATGCTCAAGGTGAGAGTTGTAAAAATACTGAAACCAGGATTCATTAATTTGGGGAAGTGCCTCTGCATACTCATGACAAGCAGAGTACTGCCCCCAGGCAGGTCTATAACTTTGATGGGTTTAGGCACTGGTTCTTTATCAAAGGCAAGTACACAAAACAGGTGATCAGGTAGGTCATTTTCCTTAGTGTAAAAAGGAACCTTACTGTAAAAATCACTAATTACCTAAAAAAACCCACCAAACAAACAAAAAAACACAAACAAAAACCACACCCACTTCTTGATGTATGATCAATTTGCTAGGTGAAGCATTATGAAGTATTTTTTACAGTTCTCTGCTGTATAACTTCCCAAATGTATCTTGACTTGCTTTAAAAAAAATTAAAACAAGTTTCCCCTCTGAAAACAAGTGACTTAATTTGTCGTAATACTCAAAATTTCTAGTTAAAGGATGCAAAGATAATACTGTGTTTTACCTGTTTAAGCCTCTCATTTCTAAGTGTTCCATCACAAACAGAGTACTGCCCCCAGGCAGGTCTATAACTTTGATGGGTTTAGGCACTTTTATTGTCTGCGTTTTCAAGATGGCTTCCAAACTTGCCATTTCTCCCTCAAACATTCTTCTGGCCTGCCAAATATTAAAGGAAAGCGTTAGTCTCTACGAACACCAGTCATAGGTAAACAAAGCTCTTGCACAAAACCAATCAAGGCTGTAAATGTTAAATAAAAAGCTTGGAGCAAGTGGTTATTGCATGTACAAGATACAGATAGATCCACACCACCAGACTTGACAGTAATTTTACGATTACAGAAATTTCACTTCATAAACTGACTCCATGGAAGTGACTTATTTTTACAATTACAGAGAATGCTAGAAACTAACTTAGAAAGTCTGTTTACAATTGAAGGAGTGCAAACTGCATATATATAAAATGTAAGCAATATTAATGGATTATGCAGCAAACGTCTAGAAAGCTATGGGCAATATACATCATCAGTTGGGAGAGTAGAAGAACGGTGCTGATATTCATAGTCTTCATGACTTTCCTGACACAGACTGCTTAGTAATAGAGCCAATCTTCAAAATAGTCTAATTTGCAGTCACAGACTGATTTTCCCTGGCCTACTTATTTTGCCTCGGGGGGAGGAAGAATATCAGTGATAGCAGCCAAATGCCCCTCACCGCACTCGCACACAGAAGCCCTTAGAACCCAAGCCACTACCAGCTGCATTTGCTTTGAAGACATTCTGAATTTAGGACCTATTTCTGCAACTGTTACCCACACCGAGTAAAATCTATTCTCTTGTATTGCTCCACTGACATCAGTGACACTAGTCACACAAAGAAATGCTACTCTAGAAGAGTTAGGCAGAGGTTACAGAAAAAGGGTATGTGGGAAATCTATGGTACCGGCTAAAAGCAAAAACAAGGAAATATGATTAATAAAATAGAAACAGAACACTAGCCCTTTAGTACTGATACACAAAACACAGTCAAAGGACAATTTACAATAGGCATTGACTAAAAATTCCAAAGCCTACAGGAGATCAAGAATGAAGAACTGCTGAATTACTGAGCCATGAGATAGCTTTGTTCAGAGGAAATCAGTAAATACTACACCTCTCTCTAAAGCACCATACTAGGTTAAAGTCAGCTGTTAACTCTAATAGAGTAAAAACCACAGTGTTTTCTAGAGAACTTTGTTTTTCTAAAGAAACTGCTGATATACACCCACCGCTGCACACACAGCACAGCATTATAATACAGTTTGGCAAAACTTGCTTTAATCAGCACTCAGAATCCACACACAAGCAAAAGCATAGGAAATTAAATGATTACTGAATAGACAATCTATCCAGATTTTTTTTTCCAAGCCCTATCTTGCAGCTAGCTGGATTGTATACCTAAATACACAATTAACAAAGGCCTAAAGTGGACGGGCTATATTGCTATCCATTCAAACCATTTTCAGTCTAACGTAAAGCGGGATAACCTTTGCATATTTTCCCTTGTTACCATTTCAGTGCATCCATCCAGCTCCCTGATATGATCAGAAAGTGTAGACAAATTTGGAATAGATATAGTTGCATACCTGCTTTCAAAAACATTTGTTTACTATTAAAGGCAAATACAAGTTCTGACTTTTGTTTTTCCAGTGAAGCTATTCATTTGACAGACACAAGTGTAGAGTACCTTTAAAGTGAATTCCACCTGATCTGTGCTTTTGTAAATAAGGGTGCCATACAGGTATGTTGCATTACGCTTATCTCTATCAAATGCAGATCTCTATCTTCTACAGTGGCTGGCACCAGCTATCGAAAGGACAAAGCAGAAAATCTTGAACAATTGTGGAAAAATATCATTGGGAAAAGCTCCTTCTTATGTGCAGGGAATTACTGGTTTTGTTACAACAAAGAAAGATGCATACCCTCAGTAGATAATGTTATACCCTCTAGGTTGCTCTCACAGCATATGCAGCCACAGTCATACCAGCACGACCCCAGCCATAACTGACAACGGCATGCCGTTGTACTGCGTGCCCTAGACAGATAACATTGATACCGCAACAACGTCCCACCAGAGGTGCTGCTTCCCACCCCAGTGCTTACCCCCACCGCGGCCTCCCCGTTCCCGGGCACCCCCCCACAAACCAGGCCCCAGACCCACAGCAGCCGCCAGCCAGACCCTCACAGGGCAGAAGCCGCCAAACGAAGCCGACCTCTAACCCCAGCGGCAGGCCCCCTCCCTGACACCAGCAGTCGAAATTTTACTGCCTGAGGCCAGCCGGCAAACCTCCCTCCATCCAGAAGAGGCCGGGGCCGGCTGAGGCCAGCCCGCCTCCCCAGCGCGCCCGCCCTCGCAGC